GTTCCTCTTCGTCTTGTTCACCACAAAACACCAACAAACTCACTTTCAAGCTCAAATCTCACAAAATGCACTTAGGGTTTTGTTTTCAGGGTATAGGGAGATGGAGGTTGGTCAATAAATGTCTAAGGGGTGGTTTAAGTTGTTTAGATAGGGTGCAAACCCTAAAAGTTAGGGTTTTCCCCTGCACCACGTATGCCATGCGTACTCCACGTACGCCCCATGTATGTGGGTGAAACCCGCGATCAACAATGGGCTAGTACGCTAAGCGTACTCATAGAGTACCCCCGCGTACTAGCTAGGGGACCATAATGTAAAGAATTTCGCAATAAGGGCTAAAAGGAAACTTACCATATTCGGAATGTTACATTATTAAATGATTAAGGATCCTATCAATCGATTTCAAGTCATCAAGTGGTTATATTATTTAGCATTTAATGCTTTCAATTGAAAGGTGAATAGAAGGATTGTTAATTTTTCTATGCTTCCGGTTACAAAGTTTGTGGTGTGAAAACTTGGAATAAATCTTCTCTCAGAATGTGCATAGATGCAACATAAGATCAGCCCACTATACCTTTGTAAAGAAGTATACCATTGGCTTCTAGACCAGATGCCACCACTTTCAAATCCCAAATTTATACTTGCTTACACATATTCAACAAGAATAATCTTCGTAAGCTTCAAAATGTTATCACTTCTAGCGTCCAAACTGGTTTACTTTTAATTTGAAACAAAACACAAGCATTCAACAAATTCCCTGTTGATATTATTATTTGCTTACAATAGCTTGGTTTTTTATTTAATAGTTGCTCAAAATAGCCTGATTTAATTGGATTTATCCAAATTAAAATGGTTTAATTTTAATCTTTAATTTTGGAAAGATATTATAGACTCATAGTAACACCATATATAATTTTAAAATCTAGATAAAAAATTAATATTAAATTAGTTTAATTCTAATTAAAATATGAGATTGGATATAGATGTAAGTTTTATAGATTTAGAATGATATATAAGTAATTCTAAAATATATAAGGATATTGAAGTAATAGTTTAATTTTATAAGGATATGAATGAAATTCTCCGTACAAATTAAAGCTAATGGTATGATCACTACGTATCTATTAAAAAGTGACGTCACATAGCGGCTAGCGCTACACCATCTTCACAACATCCTTATTCTCTACTACCACACCACAAACCTTTGAAAATGATCACCACTCCACATCATCAATATCTTTTTTATTTTTTATTTTTTAACTACAACATATATAATTAATATTATAAGAATTAAAACTAAATTAATTAATTAATTATACAAATTAATTTGATTTAGCCCAACTGTTTGTTAGCCTACTAAGTTTTCTCTTAGCCCAAGTTTAAGCTCTTAAGCCTACATTAAAAACCGTTTGTGGCCTATGTTATGTTTCATATACTTTGCACCCAAAGAAATCCAAAGCACGCCTCTTTTCTTCTTCTTTGTTGAATATTTTCCCAACTTTTGTCCCACAAAACACAGATGATCAAAAGTGTCAAAATATGGAATAAAAAAAGATCAATCGCCTTACAAAAGCGGAATCTCTCTTCATGCGTAGAAACGCTACCATATTGGGTAGCTTAACTTATGAGCTAATTTTTACTTAAATTATACCAAACACTATTTTTTTATTAGCTAGTTTTTCAACTATCCGCTAACTTTTAGTATGTCAAACATAATCTTAGTAAATATTTTATCATGTAGTGTTTCATGTTTAGACCAAATACATGTATCAGTCTTCTCTCTTCTCTATGATGATGAGATCGGATTTAAATATGAAAATGTACGTATAAAATATCGTATAAATAAATAACATTTAAGAAAATGACGACATATATGAAGAAACAAGGGAATAAATTGAAAACAAATTTGTAAAAAAATAAAAATAAATAGAACTTAATGGAAAACCTCATTTTTCTATGATTTTCTCTATCAAGTAAAGTCCATACGCATATATATAAGTTCCATTAAGTCTATCAATATATAAGATTACAAGCGGTAAAATTGAATCGGTAGGTTCTTGTAGGAATGTGATTTTCTAAGTTACCATTTAGAACTTATCAACCGGCCAACAATATTTACTGATTTTTAAAGTTGTTAAAGACTTAGTAGACATTTTCATGCAAAAGAGTTGTCAAAAGTGTCGATTAGGTAATTACCAAACTTTAGCTTGTTTATCATGTTTTCTTGTTCTTAGTTGGTCAGTGAGGTTGAGTGACACATGGGTAGGAAATTGTTATTGATTTTGTCGTGGCTACTACTACTTTTATCATTTGTTTGAGTTGTATCATATGATTATGTCCAACAATGATTTTTTTTATACACTATACTATACTAGAACTTGATATGAAAATTTGTTCAAGACCTTTGGTTTATAACCTATTACAACATTCATCACTGCCATCTTGTTGATTTTACATCCATTTTAACATATTAGCTGATGTGATCCTCAATTCGAGGTGCAATTTATAATCATTACCGGGTGGCTATTGGGTCGAAATATAGAGTCCTTAAAATTTCAAGAACCGGATGGACGATTTCCCAATTTTTAAATTTTCTCATTTTTTAAGTTCATTGACAAATAATTAAGTATTATTTAAAGAGAAAAACACAAATCTAGTCGATCCTCTTTGTGAGTTTTCACAAAATAACCATTTACATGATTTTTTTTTCTACAAATAACGACTATGTGTGCAATGGGCCTACTTCGAATTTGATTTTTGTATGGTTCTCATCGAAAAAAAATTATACTCTAAAGTTTTACTTCATATATTGCGAAATTGGTCATATTATTGTGAAAATTGTAAAATTTTATAAATTTTTTTTGAAGTTTTTTGTTGTACGTTTTTTAAGACCCATTTGAGCAATAAAAAGAAGTTTGATAGTGTGAAAAATGAATTGTTAGGTTGAGACATATTTCTTCAAAAAAGAAAAGATTTGAAAATCTAAAAAGAAATGCCTTAAGCAGAAGGAGATCAATTTTGCAACAAATAGTGATTTTCTGTGTGAGTATTCTGAAATTGATGGTTATTTTGTGGAAAGTGGAAATCTTTAGGCTATTTTGTGGCGAATAATAAGTAACTAGATTTGTCTTTTCACCATCTTTTAGCCGATTGTATCTAGTTAAAAGCCAACAATTAAAAGATACAAATTTATAGCAATGTTTTATATACTCAAATAAGACAAATATACCACCAAATCCGGTACATGTGTACAAAGTTGTGACTAAATAATGTAATAATAAGATTACATTTAATATTCAAACCTAAAGATATTTTGAAAGATGATGATGGGTCACTTATACATGTAGAATATTAACTATATCAATTGCTCGAGTTGTGGTTGTCACCATGACTATCACCATCGTTGAATTTTATAAGAGCTAGGGAACAAAACAAATGGTTTGTGAAAGAATTGGGTACGAAAGGAACAAATCACTAACACATGTCCCAAAGGTATCTAAATAACACCTATATGCACGAGTTGATATGAAATACCATATTTCCTAAACGTAAAATACTCCCGATACATACACAACATTAACGAGTTTAAACATTGTCGTGCAGGTACTTTTAACTTAATGGACTTATTAAAACATGACTTAATCTGATAAGTTACTTATGGTAATTATAAAAATGACCAAAATCTAAAGTGAAATTATGGATGTAAACAAACCACACAAACATTAAAAGTTAATTGTCCATAGGGATGTAAGTGTGTTGAGCTATTCGGGACTGACTCAATAAAAATTCAAACTGGAGCTCGAGTTAAACAAATCTGAGCTCGAACTTATTTTCAGACTTGTTTATTAAACGAGTTCAAGTCAAGCTTCACTGCTGAGCTCGATTAGTCTCGTGAACCTAGACGAGTCTTTGCGTTTTTATATAATATATTTTTTATTTTATAAATTTATATCTTAAATTATTAATAAATATTAAATATAAAATAATTTTATAATTTAAGTTATTAATAAATATTAAACGAGCTCAAAAAGCTTAAACAACTTTGAGCTTTGATGGTTAACCAAGCCGAGGTTGGACTCATTTAGGCTCATCTGACAAACGAGTCGAGTACAAGCCAAACTCGAGTCTGTTAAATTATCCACGAGCTGATCTCGAGCTTTGAAAATTAGGCTGAAAACGAATGTAGCTTGAGCTCGAGCCCCATGAATTTAAACGAGCCAAGCTCGTGCTCGGATAGCCGGATAGGCTTGTTTACACCCTAGTGATATTCGTTTGGTTAAATTTAACAAAACAAACAAAGATCACGTAAAAAAATGAATTTTCTTATTTGTGTGTTCATGTAAACATCTTGACAAATAATACGATAAAGAATATAAAAGAACAATGAAGAATATCATCATATTTATCCGAATATCTTTTCCAAAATGCACATTTGATAAACTTTACCCTTTGCCTCGTCACATCAAAATATCTTATATAAAATAAACGAATATACATAAAGAATATTAAAAGAACAAACATAAACGGTCGCTAACGAATAAAGAAAACCAAGTGTTCATCAACTAAAATTAATGAATAAGACCATTTTTATTGTGTTCCTCTATTTAACTAAAAATAAGAAATTCTTGTACATATATATATTTATTTTCATTTATTGAATAAACATAATATAAACGAACTTCCCTAGCATGCAATTCATTTGTCAAATCGTTTACAATCATACACGATTTGCAGTCATTCCGTAAATAATCTTAAAAAGATGGTTACTTTGTAATACCCTTCCATTGTCATTTTTGTGATTAGCCTATGTTTTTAGGAAGCCAAAATTGATAATAAGGTCAATTAGCTTACAAATTTGTATTTATTCGTCATTTCTTCCATTTATATAAATATGTATCATTTTCTCCTATATTTTTTTAAACATCATTTATCCAAACAAAACTTAATAAAAAAAATAAAAAAAACCAATCACAAATCACAACCAACAAATCAAACGAACAAATACCCAGAATAAAAGATTATCATAAGATTTTTATAAAGACGTAAGAGATGTTCTTCCACTTTCCCATCTTCGATTTCTGAAGACGATGATGCCTCTAACACTTTGATTCATTCATTCATTTTAAACCTCTTAAAAACCCACGTGGCACACTCTGGAATAATAATACATTACATTCTCTTTAGTTTACAAACATTACTCATTACTCAACAAAAAGCAGCTGCTGCTTCAAACTCCAACGCTACGACTTATTGACACGTGGCAAACCTTGACCTCCTTTTATAGATAAAGGCAACCCACGAGTCAAACCTCTGTTGGTCAACGGAGGGTCTAAAAACATGACAACTACAGTGATGTCATCATGGAAATGTCTTCTAACACCTCTATCGATCTTCTTCAAGTCCGAATATCTCATTTCTCTTTTCTTTGCTGCTATTTGAAGTGCAGCCTTCACAAGTCTTCTTGCAATCCCCTAAAAAAAACAAAATTAATTAATCCAACCAAAAGTTTGTTACTTTATCTAACCAATTATTGATCTTCGATTTTCAATTTCCCTTTCTCTTTTGTCTTTTGCGAAATTGGGTATATGTTATAAAAGACAAAAAGATGATTAAAAAAACTTACACTACGTGGGTAGTTATGAACAATATCAACGGCCTCTTCATTGCTAAGATGCTCCCATAAACCATCGGATGCAAATATGAGAAATTGGTCTCTAGGGTTAAGTTTGTGTATGAAGATTGAAGGATCCGGATTAAGGATTTGTTTTGAAAATGGTGCAACCCTAAATTTTGCTAAAAGTGGTTCTTTATTGAACTCCGCCTTTTTTAAATAAGCGTCCCCAATGGATCTTGAAACCTGAAAACCATTAACATTTATTTAAAAAAATATAGAATCATACTTACATTTTTGAAAAATCGAACTATAGATGTGAAATTGGTTTGTATTTAGATGATGTTGTAATTGGAAGAAACGAAAGTGGGATTTTGTATAATAAACAAATCAATAAAAGTGCACTACTATTTCTTGTGTGTAACGCTTTTATTAGTTTTGGAATTCTAGTATAACATTAACATGATAACATCCCCATTTTTTGCAATATTTTAAGCTAAGTGTTGATTAATTTGCGCATTTCTGTTGTTACCAATCACAAAATGTTAAATACCCATTTGTTGTTTTTAGGGTATTTAAGATATTTGATCTATAGTCACACTTATACTAAACCATGAATTGTTTTGGAAGTCGAAGGAGTTATATTTCACCTTCAAAATTGTTTTGTTAGTAGAAAAAAACAACTAGGAGCAATTAGATCTGAAAAACTAAAAAAAAAACTAAAGGTAAAATTTTGATTTAAAGGGTATCACGTTTGACTTTCTTTAGTAAGTCAACAAAAGCAAACACATACCTGTATGAGACCTTTAACACGCCAAACATTATGTTTGAGAACAACAATCTTTGGATCATCAGGATGCAAAGATCGAAGTTCATCTCTTACAGAAGCAAAACTTGCATTATGTTCAGTTGATAATTGTATAGCAGAAACACCTCTAACTCCTCTTTCAGCTTTCCCTAACACAACTCGTGAGTCCCCAGCATTAGCAACGTACACCAGCCCATTGCTGATCACACCCACTAAACAACACGTTCCTACTGAAGCTATTTGTGGACAAATCCGCCATTGTTCTCCTACGACAGAAAGAAACTCCTCTTCTGTTGCTAAAAATGCCCTTTTGATAACACTCGCAGACATTTCTTGATCTTCAGACGCAAATTCTGAACCAAATCAAGAGGTTTATAAGATCAGAATTCAGAAATGAAAGAAATTTGATGAAATAATCAAGGGGAGTTGTTAATTTGTTGTTTACTTACTCTTGAGATTTGGGAATAAGTTTTCGTTCACGAATCTTGATGTTTCAGGTCCACCATGTCCATCATAAACTCCGATGAAGGTTCCATAAGGGCCTGAGTTCATCGAACTTAATGGACCTGATTCGACTTGGCTTTGATCTTCTAACAAGTTGTTTGCTTGAATCACAGCCATCGAAAATTCACCACTTACATGAGACCCCAAATCTTTGTACCACAACAATCCATCTGTTCTTCCGGATTGATCTCCAGTTTTCCGTACATCGCCTTCCACCGATGGCTTCCAACAGGGTTTGACCATATTCATGTAATTATTCCCGGATAACATGAACTTTTCATATAAATCATCCACAATATTCATCAAATTTTCACCAAATTAACGCGAAACCCTCAACTCCAGTTCCGTTTTACATCCAACAACATCGATGATTCGTGAAATTAAAGAGTACCCAAAAAAGAAGAAACCCTAAATACCAGTAAAATTAAACGGAACCCCAAAAGGATGAATGGGTATGGGTGAAGATTGCCGATAGATCAACTGATGTCTCTGAAAGACAAGAAAGTTATAGTTTTTTATGGGGTTGAGAGAATATGGAGGTGTGCATACCTTGAACCCTCCACCTTAATTCATGTGGACCTTCCTTCTGTGTCACCTTCAAAGAACAGTCTTAGCTGTAAAAGCCCATATACATTTGATTGTGACAGAGTTTGTTCATAGATCAGAGGAAGATGGCAATGGATAATGGGAAAAAATTAGGGCAAAGATTAAAAAAAGGGTTTTGGAATTTTTCGGGCAGGAGATCTTTTATATTGGTGTCAGGTTGGGATCTCAGATGTTTAAAATAAGAAAAAAGGAAAAGGAACTATATGGAACTTATCTGACAAGAGGGTCTGTATTTCATTATCATTATCATTTTTTTTTTAATTAATATTATGTATCTATTTAATATTTATCATCCTTACTTTTTTTTAAACCTATATAAACCTATCCATTTTACGATCCACCTACATTCTACTACCTCAATTTCATTTTATTTTCTTTCAATTTTATTCGACACGTCTTCAATTCTCTCGATAGATTCCCGAGGCAAATCTAAACTAATCGGTTCTAGCAAAAAAAAAAAATAAATCAAAGCAAGACAATTCTAAATTTCTAATTAAGATATTCAATTTTATGTTGCGAAATCCCAAAACTCAACCTATCAACAATACCAAAACTATCAATAACAATATTACTTGGTGCAACAAGCTTACAACTCATTCAGTCTTTCACAGGAAAATCGAGGTTATGATCAATACATGTAATATTCTCAAACGGTTTCGAAAACCCAATTCCAATGTTTTCCTCTCGAGGTATCCCAGTTTTGTGATACTTAAAACTTAGAATTTGACGATTCAAGTAACGACCCCGCTCCCTAAGGAAATGAACAAGGAAGCAAGGAACACCAACCAGTTTCCAAGAACAAACACGACTATACAAAGTGCCAAAAGTCAAAGAAATGGTTGGAAAAGAAAGAGGTGGCTTTGGCTACGACGTTTGTCGATGTTTTTGAAGATAAGCAACGCGAAAATCAACAAAGGTCGGATGCATTTTGGGCGGGTTGTAGAACATTTTAATGCTCAAATGGGAGGTTTGGATCAGACACGTCACCAAGTGAACTCAAAATGGAACAACCTTTAAAAAGAAATGTAACGATTACAACTGCATCTACAACCGAAAGCTAAACAGTCTGGCTAGTGGGAGATTCGAGGTCGGTGTTTAAAAAAGATGCACAAAGCGAGTATCAAAGGCTTAGTAATCAGAAAGCTTTTCCCCGTGAAAAAGCTTGTGATGCTTTGAAACACCAGGCGAAATGGTTACACGTAAAAAAGTCGATGGAGACTCACCGCCTCATTCTTTAAAACGAACCAAAACATCTTCATCCAACGCCTACACAATATCTTCCGATAGAAGATGCACAACTTACACCCGGATTCGACCAACAATAACATTCATTTCATGTTGAAAACTCATCGCTACGAAGACAACGAAAAGGAAAGAAAGCGACAACGACATCATCAACACCGAATGAAATAGTCAATGAAATTGTCAACATCAACATTGTAAACATAACAGAGGTGGAAGAGAGAAAACGATATTATGATGAAAAAATATGTTTTTTCTTCAAGAAATGAAGTATATAAAGCTCAACTGTTGGAGCGCGAGATAGAGACCCAAGATATCCATTTTTTTCCTTAATCCGCATTATCATTTGACATGAGGGGTTATGCGCATGATGCTTAAATGAAAACGAAAAATTAAGTATGGTTAGGAGTTTTATAATGTTTTTTTTTCTTTTGTTATTGTGTTTAGGACTTGACCTAACTAACATCTTATGGACCATTTTATTAGATAATTTGTTAGTCAGGGTTAACTTAAACAAACTTAGCGACTAAATATGTCAAACCGATCAACTTTGAAAATTAGAACCTACGCTCAACTTTCTCTCTCATTTTGAGACATCCCAAAAATACAACAAATTTAAACTTTTCAAAACAACCCATTTACTAAAAAGAAGTGTTTACATAACCATTGTTTCCAAAAACATTATTCAATATCAGAGTCTCCCAAGATCAACAACATAAAATCAAGGATGTGTACGGTCACACCTTAGCCTTGCCACAGTCCTCAAAAGTACCTGAAACAATACTAAAACTGTAAACCAACGCTTAGTGAATGTCCCCCAAAGTACCACCATATAAACATAACAAACAAGCATGCATACAGAGCCTTCAACATGACTGGACCGCCTCACCGGGCCTTCAGCCTATCTGGACCGCTCTCTGGGCCTTCGGCCTGACGAGTCCTCCTCACAGGTATTCAGTCTATCCGGACCGCCTTGGGTGTCTTGGCCTTCAGTCCCAGCTGGTCCGCCTAAACCCAGTATACCAACACATATCAACATATACCATAACAATCAATAGCTAGAAGACACAGGTAGTCATATAGATCTAACAGATCCCAACAACATAGCAACATCCTATATACCAAGCTACAGATCTAACAAATCACTACATCATAGCAACATCTTATACACCAGGATACAGATCTAACAGATCACTACAACATGTCGACATATAGTAAACCAGGATATTAATCCAATGGGACGACCTTGGTTCCTTCGACCCGTAAGTACAGTGAGGAAACCCACCTCACAGTCTGAATGTAGTCAAAATAACTCCCGGCTCCAACAACCGGCTCAACCCAAATCCTAAATGTCAAAAAATTTCCCATTCTAAATTAATAACCTTTTCCCAAAATACCCTTGGTCAAAGCTAGTCAAAATCCACAAGTCAACCTAGTCGACATAGCCGAGTCGACTCAGGCTACGTATGTGAGGCGTACTCTAGAGGTACGCGGGGCGTACTCTAGAGGTATGCGGGGAGTACTCGAGGTTAGAGGCATCAGGGCCAAATTTACGTACGCGCAGCGTACCATTTATGACTTAAGATGTTATTTTGGGACGATATATGCATTTGGTCGAAAAGACTTAATGGAATAAACTTTTAAAAAGAAGAAGTGAAGTTAGCCAGCGTACGATGGGCGTACATTGTCGTATGTCGCGCATATGCTAAGTACGTTGGGCGTACTCAGCTGAGTCAACTCTAATGACTTTTGACCTTTTGAATTTTTGACTTTCGACTTGACCAGGATTTTGACTAAGTTGACCTAAGGGTATTTTGGGTATGTTGAGTTGTTGTTTGAGTTTCGGTCGTTATTTATTGTAAAGGTGATCGGTAGAGTTAGAATTTGGAGCAGCGTGTGATAGCAGTTATTTTGTCTGACTGTGAGGTGAGTCTCGTCACTGTGCCCGCGGGTCGAAGGCACAAATGACGGCCCACTAGGATCTGTTATGCTAGTTGTCTTTGTGAATCTTGAATGGTATGTTGGACTAGGCCCATTGCATGACCGACTAGACCCATTTGTATGATGGGTTGGGCCCATGGATCAGGAAGGGCTAGGACCAATCTATGTTATGTAGGATGTTAGCTATCTTTGTGACTCATGCATTTGTATGTTGGGTTGGGCCCATTGTATGAGGGTTAGGCCCAATGGTATGTATGGTATGTGGTATTTTGGGGAACTCACTAATCTTTGTGATTACAGTTTTATGGTTATGGTTTCAGTTAGTTCCGGTTTGAAAAGGAAGGGCCCGGCTTGATCGCATCGTATCCACCCTTGTTTCCGCAACTAGATGATTTTAGGATTGTACTCTGATTTTTTTATTCTAAAATACTTTTGAATGATTGGAAAAAGGATAATTGGTGTTTCTGGTTGAATTAAAAATGATTTTTTTCCTTAGAATTGTGGGGATGTTACAAGTTGGTATAAGAGCCTTGGTTTGAGGGATTCGGGCACACTCTCGGGGGTAACTGAACTCAAACAGAGGAATTGGTAATATTTTTTTTTTAAAAAAGACAAATTTCTAAAAAAGACTTTTGTAAGGAAAAAAGGGGGTGTGATGCGTGAAATCAACCGAGCTCAAGTAAGTGATTCCCAAAATACTCATACATGTTGATATGTTATATGATATGAATGTTTGCATGCTAGGATGAGGCTAGGGATACTTTCAGGATTTGTTTGATAGATTGGCCTGATATGTGATGCCTTGTAGCCTAGGAAGCATTGGATGCTATGCTAGATTGTGAATATGTATTGGTATCAGTAATTACTAAGTGTATGCTTTAAAAATTGTATACGATTAGGATCATATATCCCTAGAATGACTGATTTAGCCTTATTTCCTGTACCTCGTTTGGTTGTGATCCTAGGGTAGAGTCTTTTATTCGGCAGTCTATTTGATCATGTATTGTGTATAATTTTCATGCATAAGGTAACCAGCAGTGAGAGTGGAGGTTCTTAGCATGGATAGTAGTAAGTGAGCTTAGGATATGCTTTGTTTGTTATGTGGTTTGGAGTGTCACTGCATGAATGCTGCTTGCTTTGTGCTTTGTGGAATTCTTAGTGATGTGAGTTAACTGTCAAGTAAATATGTCAAGTCACATGTTACAAAGGTTAAACAATCTCAGAGTGATGGATTTGACTCTACTGCCCAACTCTCGTTTGAGTCTAACCATTTTAGGGTTGAGTCTGTTACTCGAAGGATTATCTAGGATTTGTGGCATGTGATTATATTCATGAAGTAGTTAGCTGATATTAGTGGGAGTTCTTCAGCAGCTCATGACACGGTGAGTTCGGAACCTAAGAGAGCCTAGGAAGTGCATTAGTGGGTTTGGTTGCGTTGATTAGTAGGTACTTGGAGTATCGATTTGAGAAGGTGACTTGGAGGATTCGGGATAACACTTGATGAAAGTATGGAT